AGTCAGGTCTTTGGGGCCATGAGAAGATTCATTCAGGAATAAAATCTTACAAATGCTTTGAGTGTGGGAAATGTTTCACCCTGATAACATATCTTCTTAGTCATGAGAAAACACACAGAAGGGAGAAAAAGAAAAAAACTTACAAATGTTTTGCGTGTGGAAATTGTTTCACGCAGAGTTCAGCTCTTCGGAGTCATTGGAAAACACACAGAGGGGAGAAAAATGTAAAGTGCCTCGAATGTGGGAAATACTTTTCCAGTAAATCAACCCTGGTGCGACATCAAAAAATTCACACCGGAGACAGACCCTTTGAATGCCCAGAATGTGGGAGAAGATTTATGTATTCTTTTGAACTTCGGACACATCAGAAAAGTCACAAAGGGGAGGAACCCTATAAATGTGGGGAGTGTGGGAAGGGTTTTCTTACACGAAAAGACATGCATAATCATGAGAGAACCCACACAGGGGAGAAGCCATACAAATGTTTGGAGTGTGAGAAATGCTTTTCCCGAAAAGACACCCTTAGAATGCATGAGAGGATCCATACAGGCATGAAGCCATACGGATGCATAGAATGTGGGAAATCTTTTGCTTATAAGGAAGTACTTTGGAGACATCAGCAAATTCACACTGGGGAGAAGCCCTTTAAATGCATCGAATGTGGACAATTTTATCGTACCACATCAAACCTTAGAAATCATATAAAAATTCACACGGGGGAAAAAAGTTATAAATGTTTAGAGTGCGGGAAAACATTTGCGCGGCCAGCTCACCTTACAAATCACAGCCGAATCCATTCGGGAGAGAAGCCCTTTAAATGCTTGGAGTGCGATAAATGTTTTTCTCGGAAAGATACTCTCTCGAAGCATCAGCGAATGCACTCTGGAGAAAAACCATAGAAATGTTCAGATTGTGGGAAAGGTTTTGCCCAACCTTCATCCCTTCATATGCACAACCGAGATCACACTGGAGAGTAGCCTCACAACTGGGCGGGGTGTGAGAAAACCTTTTTTGTTGCAAATCACAGCTAAAAATGCACCAGGAAGTCCATAGCAGAGAGACATCTCTTGAATTGTGAACAATGCAGGAACACATTTTCTTTTTTCAGAGGTCACACCTTACCAGGCATTTCACACAGTGACAGAAGGGAGCTCTGCACTGGGATAGGAAATCCTGTTTTAGGGGTCAAATAAAACTTTTAAGGTTTCATTGAAGTTTTGTTTTCATTGGAAATGTATGAAAGTACATAATCATCTGGCCTGAGATATATTTTTTTTTTTTGAAAAAATGTTTTAGTCTATTGTCCAGCCTTAATAAAAGAATTTACGCTATCCTATCACATTTTAATTTCTCCAGAGTGCACTTTTCTTACATTGTTCACTCCAGAGGTGAAATGAAGGCTTGACTCACTTCCTGGGCTGAAAGATAATCATAGTTTAGTTTAAGGTTTCTGTCTGACAGAAATGTTGGGCTTAATTGTGGTCCTGTGCTTGCTTTGTAAGCTAAATGGGGTGAAATGTGTCAGGGAATTTGCCTATGGAGATTCTCAGTCATCCAGCTTATGGTTATTCCAAAGGTGCTTTTTTTCAAAGAGGCAACTGGACATTGTGGTTTTTCTTTGAAAGCATTTTCAATCCAGCTTCTTGGATGAGAAGCGAAACATCTTCCAAGAAAAACCACAATGTCCAGTTACCTATTTGGAAAAAAAAGCACCTTTGCGTCAGGGAATTTGCACACCCGGAGACCAAATGGAATCGGAGACCCTGACAGGAAATTGTGTGCGTGTGTTTTTTTAAGAAATAAATAAATATATTTACAGTAAACAGGAGAAGCAAACAGGATCATATCAGGTGAAACAACAGAATCGTGAGGTAAATCACAGCGAGCACACAGGGCAAAAAAAGAGGGAAACAAGGAACCTCCCCCTTTTCACTCAAGACAGCCAATCACAGTTTAGATTGCCTCATGCAGGGCCAGCCCTCTTCAATCAATCAACTGTAACTGTTCTGGACTGGCTACGCAACCTCCCGTTTCAGTTATAAATTTAAATATCTTGGCAAAATGTAGATTGGGGGCGGGGAG